CTGAAAGTTCAAAAATAAGAGCTCATCTGGTAAATACAAAAACGCAGTGACACTGCGCAAAACAGCTGAAAGCAAAACAGCTGAGTCGGGAGGCTGATCCAATCAACTTGTGCTAATTAGGCTGTGCTGAAGCTGAAAGGAGCTGTTTTTTCTCGCTGTTTGCTTGCAAGGAGATAACTGCTGCCAGGCAGAGGCCAAAGGGTGGGGGCCAGTGGGTGGGCAGGGCTACATTTGGTGTATAAGATGCACCTAAATTTTTACCTCCTTTTAGGGGGAAAAAAGGTACGTCTTATACTCCGAAAAATACGGTAGTCAGGCACAGGAAGGGTTTTGTGGCTCCCGGTGTTTTCTTTTCTGTGGAGAAACAGGTCCAAATGGCTCTTTGAGTGTTTAAGGTTGCAGACTCCTGATCTACAGTTACGGAAAAAAGTGACTTATGACCAATTCTCTCACATTTACAACTGTCGCAGCATCCCCCATGATCGTGCAATCATAATTCAGCTTCTTGGCAACTGACTCATAGGTATGACGGTTGCAGTGTCCCAAGGTCATGTGATCCCCTTTTGCGGCTTTCTGACATAGGGCGGTCAATGGGGAAGCCACACACACTTACATCTGCAGTGATCCACTTAATAACTGTAGCAGGAAAGATGATAAAATGGGGCAAATCGCACTTAACAACCATCTCGCTTAAGCAACATAGATTTTGGGCTCAATCGTGGCCAAATAAATCGAGGACTACCTGTTTGTCCCCTTTGCCTTCCTGTTTCAGCACGGGACTAAGGCTTCCTAAGGCTTCCATATCTTGGCATTTTCTCAGGTGCTCATCAGAGACGGTTCGATTCATACAGTTTTACTTTCTATGGGAACAGCACATTAAAGGCATCCCTGTCTTCTGGTTAAACAGAACAGTTCACGCAGCCTTCCTTTTAACACATCATACACAAAAGACGAAACATCAAGGGGCGCTGAGCCACACCAGGTGATATTAAAAGAGAGAATGTGATTGTTTCACTGCAGGTTTTTTCAACATATCGCAAGCCCTAAACTCCATTTCTCTCCCCTTATCTGCCACCAACCAATATCCTTTCTCCTGTTATTACTCATTTTATAATTCTGCTGAGAGCCTTGTGGGGGCTTATTATAACCTAATATTCCTGGTTATCTCTGTTTAGAAGATAGGAATAAAAACAGACTTATGTCTCCCAATAGGCAACAGTAACAGTAAAAAACAACAACAACAACAGGTTCAAATGTGAAGTTCGGATATGCCAAACATGGATGAAGTGAGCACAAGCAACTTAAGTTCAGATGTGTTAGAATTCCAAAATAACAACTCACCCACACAACATAAATCTAGAGTGATACATATTAATTTCAGTTAAATAGGGAGATTGAGCTCTGACTACAGGAATGACATTCAGAAGAGTAAACATGAATACATAAGTGTACTGAAGCATAAGATATCAAGCAGTTGCACTATAAAATTCTGTATTTTGTTTTAATATGTACTGGCTTTTAACTATAGCAAGTGGCTACCAAACTGGGAAGGAAATGAAGGTTCTGTAGCTAAGATGTTCCACTGCTACTGCCATAAATAATGATTCCTTTATAATTTCTCACGTGTGGATACAATAGACGTTCACAAATCAGAGAAAAACAGTGTCAGCACTAGAGTAAATGCAGGTCGAAGTTATTTTATTTGAGACGATATCGAAACCTGACAAACAGAATGACAGAGTTGGAAGGGATTTTGGAGATCTTCTAATCCAATCTAATGCTCAAGCAGGAGACCGTATCCCATTTCAGACAAATGGCTGTCCGATCTCTTACAAACCTCCAGTGATGAAGCACCCAGAACTTCTGGAGCCAAGCCTTTCCACTGATTAATTGTTCTCACCGTCAGGAAATTCCTCCTTAGTTCTAGATTCGTTCTGCCCTTGATTACTTTCCACCTTCTTGTCCTGCCCTCAGGTGCTTTGGAGCAGTGGTGGTCCATGAGAAAATTGTGGTGGTCCACAGAAAAATTATTTGCATTTTTTATATTGCACTAAATACTATTTATCTTTTAAAAAAATTCATATTAGTGGTCCGCGGGACTTAACATTATGAATTTAGTGGTCCCTGAGGTCCGAAAGGTTGGTGACCCCTGCTTTGGAGAATAGCTTGACTCCCTCTTCTTTGGGGCAGCCCCTGAGATACTGGAAGACTGCTATCATGTCACCCCTAGTCCTTCTTTTCATCAAACTAGACAGACCCAGTTCCTGCAATGGTTCTTCATATATTTTAGCCTAATCTAGTTGCCTAGTCATCATTCTTGCTCTTCTCTGCACCGTTTCTAGAGTCTCAGCATCTTTTATTATTATTATCGTGGCGACCAAAACTGGATGCAATATTCCAATTGTGGTCTTACCAAGGCATTAAAAAGCGGTATTAACACTTCACGTGATCTTGATTTTTATCCCTTTGTTAATGCAGCCTTGGACAGTGTTGGCTTTATCCTAATATATTTTCTGGTCTTCATAGGAAGGGCCTTAAATGAAGGAGATAGAATGCTACAGTTAATGAAGGTTGGCTAAAACATCCACTGGGTGGCGCTAAAGCATCACACATACCACGTTTCAGGATTTCCTGGTATATTTTCAGGATGAGGCTAATCCTTTTAAATCTATACAGACGTAGCTAATTAACATGCTGATTCCCCCCCCCTTCTCTGAGCTGAGCAATCATGTGGAACAATGCACATTACTTCTCTGAAGAACGCCCTAAAATCATAAAAGGTCTGTTAGAGTGCACTTCGCATGGTGAAAAATAAGATTTTAGTGGCTATGTTTGTCAGGAGGTTAATAGTTAGATTCTACTTCTAGGCAAGATGCTGCTACCGCCCATTGTAAATCACAAAGGAATATTAGAGCTCAGAATTGAAAAGCAATGATTCCATAGGCACCGTTCCTTCAGTCCAGATGTTCTAAGGCAGAAGTGGTGAACTATGGTCCTTTTATAAGACTTGTGGACTTCAACTCCCAGAATTCCTGAGCCAGCATAACTGGCTCAGGAATTCTGGGAGTTGAAGTCCACAAATCATAAAAAGGGTTCTCCATCTTTATTTTAAAGGATTGTGGATTGTTAAGTCTCACTCAGTGTGCCAGTGGGCCTGCTTTCTCTTCCATTCCCTTCCTGCCTCCCCAGGGATGCTGAAGCTTTGAACAGGCAGAAACTATCTACTTTTCACTTCAGATCTATGTTCTGAATGTCACATTTTACAAACTCTCTTGTAATAAAGAACAAAGCGGGAAAAGCTTGTATCTCTACAGCGCTCGATGGGTTTAGCCTTTAAAAAGATAAAATGCACAGATGTTACTTTGAGAATTTCAGTGGGACCACCAGGCTTCCTTTACTAATGTTTTCCAATACATTCTCAAAGGAAAAAGGATAAAGAATTTAAGAATTTTCCACACATCAGGCAGTATGCACTAGTATGTTGCTTTGTTCTTGTGATTTAGAGTCCCAGCAACGTGGAACCACACTTTTAAAACTTGGTATTATTTAATGAAGTTTGAATTAATGGTCAAACGTACTGAATGTTCTGCCTCTCTCTTTTGTGTGGCTTTTGATAACATGTTTGGGGCAACTATCTGTTATATATATTTGCCTATATTTGTTACATATGTGTTAATATGTTACATATGTGTTAATATGAGGACCCGGTTTATGGGGGTAATAAGCTGACTTTGTATAAAATAGAACACCGCTTTGGGGGGGGCAAAAGCCCTACTAAGCAGGAATACACAAAAGTATGAAGGCTATTGCTTAAAAGCATTGTAAGCCGCCCTGAGTCTCCGGAGAAGTGGGGGCATATAAATCAAACTAATAAATATAAATCAAACTAATAAATAAATAATGTGTAGGGATGTATGACTTGTTTATTAGGTGTTTTTAATCCCACTTTTATTACTGAATATGTAACTCAAGGAAGCAATCATGCTTAATGTTCTTTCCTCCTCCTATTTTTCCCCCAACAACCACCCTATGAGATGGATTGGGCTGAGAGAAAGTGACTGTCCCAAATTCATCCAAACAGTTTTCATGGCTAAGGCAGGATTAGAACTCAGAGTTTCCTGGTTTCTAGCCTAGAAACCAAATTGGCTCTCATTAATGAATTAATTAAATTAAACTGCAGTGATTTGCTTAACAGCAATGGCAATGAAGGTTGTAAAATAGGCCATGACTCAATTAACATCAGTTGTGGTTGTAAATTGAGGACTAACTCTACCTTCCCAGGAATTAACAACTCCTTTCCAATCTTTTTGCAATGTATCAACCTAGGGGAATAATTAACTGGTTTCCTTTTTAACAGCCTTTTTAAAATGGGTAGATACATTGTCAACCATTGGCTTGTGTTTATTCAATAATTCTTATTGTTGGGTTGGCAGTTCCATATTCATCCAAATGAAATCTGGATTGTGCCCTAATTTAAGATGAATTTGAATCCTCAAGGTGTTTTTCCAAAAGGCAACTGGACTTCCTTGGTTTTTTTCTTTGAAAAATGTTTCGCTTCTAATCCAAGGAGCTTCTTCTGTTCTAATTGATGGTGGGGATGCAGATGGACTGCTGAATCTGCAAGACAAGGGTCATTTTTTTGAAGTCAGCAAAGTCCACATTTTGGACAAAGAGGGCCACAGGTTTGAAAGTTCCACACACACTTGCACTCTGATTCAGATGATCCTGAGGTAAATCTTCAAGTGGCCTTAACGACTCTCGGAGAAAGTGCTAATGACCAGATGACTACAAAGAATATAAATCCTTCCATTCTCCACCAGTCAGTTAGAACTAAAGAAGCTTCTTAAGTGAGAAGCAAAATATTTTCAAAGGAAAAACAACAACAAGAAAGTCCAGTTGCCTTTTAGAAAAGCACCTTTGGGACAACCATGGCCTGGATGATTGAGAATCTGCACAGATAGATGAATTTGAGTGATACGATTTCTCCCTTCTGCTGATAGGTAATTGGGAAAGACGAGGTGGCTGTACCTTCTCATCTCTACAAAGTCATTCTCGCCAGGCGAAGTGAAGTGTTTCAAGATCCTTTGCTACTTGGAGCCTTTGTGGTACCAAACCGTCCTATTGGATTTGACCATCAGCTCCAGGAATTCCAAGTTGGCATTGAAGATCTGGAGAAAATGTCCGGTCTTGTTTTCTTCCCAGAAGTGAATAAATCTGAAGATGTTAGAAATATCTGTGAGGTTGATACTTGTAAGCTAATGACCCTGGAAGAATTTACTTTGTATATCACAACTCGGAAACTACAGAATGCAAGGACACCAGAAAGGCTAGGGAAAATCATGTCTGAGTTACGTGAAAAAGGAATTGAACCAGATGAGTATCTCTTAAAGGTTTATAACAAGAAGAAAGAAGAATTAGCTGAACAAACCACAGCAGAAGTTAGAGAAAGAAAAGTTGGTTGAACTTAAAAAGTTTGGTGTTGTATTTCCAGAGGTGTAGCTGTTAAAAAAGCTTTCATAACCATTCTCTTTGGCTCTTCCCCTATGATAAAAATATAAAATTTACCATATGAAATTGAAACATTCTCTGTGCTGGGAGTTGATAGGGGTGCTTTTCTAAATTAGCCGTCAAATATTCAAATTTATGGGATTCTTTCATGAAACGCTAGAAAAAAACCACTGGGAATATAAGCAAGATTTTTCCATTGCTATCTATTCAATACTTTTCTAATATATTTGCTTTAGAAGTGTTTTATTCTTTCCTGTTAAGATTATATCACTGATTTTAATTTGACGTTTTTAGAATAATATCTATTATTTTCTTCCTTCCTCCTCCCTTTCCCCCACCCCCAGTTCCCCATTCAGCTGCTTTCTTCATGGGAATTTGATTAAATCCACATTTCTAATTTAAAATCTGGGTATACAGCATAAAACACACACACACTCTCTGTTTAAATGTCTTACAATAATATCTCACGTTGAGCTCACATATTCTGCCATGGTTTGTTAAACCGTGATGTAATTACAAAAACATCAGTGACTGGATTTACAATGGCTAGGTCAGGCAACTTACTAAAGTAAAACCAAATGAACCATATAATACCTTCGTGTGTGAATCCAGTCATTTGAGTATCTTTACTGCTCTAATAGGCCAGCTCATTTTTTTTATTATTGTTATGGCCAGCTATTTTTTTTTTAAAGACAACTGATTGCTTTTTGTGTGTAGTAATACATTATTATAATATATTAATAGTATTACTGTCCTGAATTTAAATCTCTTTTGATTCTTCAGACTAAGCATTCTTACTGCCATCACATCTCTAGATTGGCCAATTAACACCCTGTTTTAACACTGCTTTTATTTATTTTTCTTTCTGCAACTTGTTTATTTGACAGATAGTTGATGCCCTGAGAGTGTTATTTTGAGGAAAGTGTTTTGAAATAAAGATTTTTCCAGGATTTCTATTCTGATTTCTGTTTTTTATCAAAGTTGTAGGATCAGGTACGAGACCCTGCCTTAGCTTTTTTTGGGTGTAAGTATATGTCAACACAAAGGTATGTTATGCTGTTTACCTTTTATTGTTCCATCTTTACCCCACAGTTTCCATCACAAATTGCTTTTCAAGCTGCAAAATGAGAAGGAAAGACCACTTTTTTTTAGGGGAAAGCAAAAGTTTGCATCTGTTTCAGTGATTCTCTTGAGTCACAGCCGGAGCCTCAATTTTAAGGCATAGCTTTCGGGTTAGAGATGCAAATAATATTCTAAAGGAAACATGTCTAGACTGTAATGGGGTTTTGACTGTTCGTGGCCACAGAAAGAATTGTAGACCAGTTTTAATGATTTGGCAGCAGGATTGGGCATTTGACCAGCCCTCACGGAAAAAAAGGGGGATTGGTAGTTGTGTTGCAGAAGAGTACAATACAACAATATAACAGTTAAGGTATAGGTAGCTTACGTTCACAAATTTCCATTGCTAATCGATGGAATTGTTGAGTTGCACCTCATTTTATGACCTTTTTTTTTTGCCACAATTGTTAAGCAAATCACTGAAGTGATCAAGTGAACGGGGGGGGGGGGGGGGCACTTTGACATTGCTTGTCGGAAGCCAGTTAGGAAGGTCAAAGATCAAAGATGGTGATCACATGACCCTGGCATTCTGCAACTGTCATAAATGCATACCAGTCACCAAACATCCAAACTTTGATGATATCATCCTGGGGATGCTGCAACAGTCATAAATGTTAGAACCAGTCATAAGTCACTTTTTTCAGTGCTGTTCTAACTTTGAACAGTCATTAAAAGAGTGGTTGAAAACTGGGAACTACCTGCATTGGATTAAAGGAAGAGATTCCATGATTATTATTTTGGGTTTTTTAAGAAAACAAATGGAGAATTTAAAAGAGGTTGTCTAAACTGGCATTTCAGACAAGAAGGAAGAAAGGAAAAGGATTATACATCTTCTCGTGCCCGTAGAATTTAAGAAACCTTTAATCCATCTCATCTTGACATATTCAGGAGTCTGGTTTGATTATTTAAAACTCAACACTTTATTTAAGATAGAAAAGGTTGCTAGGACTACGTTGCATTTGCATATATGTTTTATAATTAAACTCCAGAAATGTAAAACAGCAATATAAGTATATTCTTGATTTTTTTTAAAGAGCTGCTGTTACTTAAAAAAAATATCAGAGGAACAAAAAGGATAACTGAAAATAATTGATTTGTTCTGCAATGTAACACATTCAAGTTTACCAACCTTCACATCCAGAAAAATACTTCCTGAAATTTTCTATGTAAAATACTTCCACTCTTTCTGAAAATTAGCATGCTGTGGATTCGATGGATCCTGACCTGGCAGCTTTCCAGGAGTTAAATAGTTCCAAAACGCTAATATCCTCCAGTGTTGGGATCCCAGCTCCCTAAATTCCCAGTGAACAATGCCAAAGTTGGAAAGATGTTTTTGGAATTCCAGTCCAATCTATCAAGTGCCAAATTCAGGAGAATAATTTTGAGATTTGGCTTTCCATTTTGCCAAGAATTTCCCTGAAAATTGCAATCCTTGGTCTTTAGAGGGCACTCAAGAGCTGCAAGAATTGGTTGGCTTATCTCACCAAACTCTTAAAAAATTTAGGAAGTTCTGCTGTAAGAGATTCTATACCATTCTGGACAAAATAGCTATCCAGTCTTTTCTGAAAACCTCCAGTGATAGAGCTTCCACAGCTTCCAGTGGTAAGCCTTTACACTGATCGTTCTCATTGTTATATTCACTAGTTCATTCATTCATTCATTCATTCATTCAACATTTATTAAATTTCTACACTACCCATCTCCTAAATGGCTTCTGATGGTTCACAAGAATATAAGAAAATAAAATACATGACTAAAAAGTTTGGGGAAATTTCTGTGAAATGTGGGAGCACCACCAAAGAGAGTTTGCCAACCTAATTAATCTGCGTAGCTGGTGGTGTTACTCACGTTTACAGATAAATGCTAAATCCATATGGCCTGTTGGCAGAATGCAGATACCATACAGCTAAAGTAGAAGAACAGAGTTTCCAAGTTAGAGACTAATATGCAAGCAAGACCATAATTCAGGGAAATTGTGAGCGTTCCAGTAAAAATAACAAATTGAAGATGAATATGCTTCATGGCTAGTAAAAGATGAGTGAGGAAATGGATTTTCATAGCATCTCTAAATTGCTTTCCTTTCTCTATACTCAGATAACTAAAGCACTTGCTTTTGGTTTTCTTGTCCTTGGTACATGAGATTTCATTGAGAATCTGAATCAGGACTCGTGATATTTGAGAAATTGGTTCTCCACAAAACACAATGGAATACAACAAGCATTGATATAACAGTGTTCTTTCAAGCAGCAAATTGAAGGACTAACCATTTGCTCCTGAGATGAGGGGAACACACTCAGGAAGATCCCCTATTGATTGAGTCTTTTTTTTTTAACTGATGGTGACAATGTGACCATTGGAACTGTTAAGGTTCTGACCAGAAATCGGACAAGAAAGAAAAGTCAAGATAGCAGCTGGAATGGGTAGATGAGTTGAAGACCTACATCCTATCTTAATTTTTTCTTTTCAGAAGCTTCATTCAATCTCTTAATTGGGTAGATTTTCCAGGTCAGAAGAAGCTTCTCCAAATTTTATGGGAAAGCAAAGTAGCATAATTGGGCAAAATATTCTCAGCTTGAAGGCCATTTCAGAACAAAATATTCCCTGCTTTTCCTGTCATTGATCTCGAGTTTTGAACTAAATGGGAAATTTCATTTCTAAAGTTTCCAAAAGGAGCAATGAGCACTTGAAACAAAATTAGGTTTCCTGTTTATTTTTCATTATAAAATCACAGAAGTTTTTCAAAGAGTGGAGGTAAGAACTTACTTGTCTGTTCTACAAAACTATTAATTGGAAGAAGTTTAAAGCAATTGTTTTTTCATTTTTTTAATGCTAAAATCCAGGAAACCATATTGCTAAAAAATTTTCAGGTTGGTCATTAAATGTTGGTTACTCAGCGTGGGATTCCTGTGTAAACTACAGACTGAAATTGAGCAAGTTTCTATTTCATAATGTTAGGAACTCCTGTTGCCAGTTTTCAGCTATCGTGCCACCACATTTTCTAAATTTCTATCCAGCACGATTCCGCTTCTTTCTTCTCCTTTTGCTAGCAAATGATTTTTCAGAGATTTGGAACATTTTAGCAAGGAAAACAAAAACAAAAGAAGAGTAAAAATAATAAAAGTTTACGGATAGGAGAATCTTAAGGTATAAATAAAAAAAGACAGTTTTTCAAATTTAACTTTTTTTAGTTACTCATGAGGCCTTATGAGCATAAGTGAAATCCAGCAGGTTCTGACAGGTTCTGGAGAACCAGTAGTGAAAATTTTGAGCAGTTTGGAGAACTGGCAAATACCACCTCTGGCTGGACCCAGAATGAAGTGGGAATGGGATTTTGCAGTATCCTTCCCTTGGAGTGGGGTGGGAATGGAGATTTTGCAGTATCCTTCCCCTGCCACGCCTACCAAGCCACACCCACAGAACCGATAGTTTAAAAAAAATGGATTTCACCACTGCTTATAAGGATTAATAAACCTCTTTTACAGGGATCCAGTGAGGAAGGCAGCAAGATAAATTCATGGATAGTTAAAAGCAAATGACATTACACGAAGTCCTTGATTTATAACCATAATAGAGCTTGCCCATTAGGCTGTAAGTCATGATAGTTGTAAAGCAGGTCATCCACATGACAGACTCAATTTTACAACCTTTTTTGTACCATTAAGAGAACCCACGGTTTGCTCTGGGCAGTTTTTGCCAACAACTGGAAGTAAATGTTATTTTTTGGTTAAAAAAAAAATCATGGTCATGTGACCACAGGATGCTGCAAACTGCCATAAAGGTGAGCATCCAATTACACGAATGTAAGTGTGTGTGATAATCAGAAACAGGTCTTAAGTACCTTTTGGAAGAGTTCATTATGAGACCGGTCATAAATTAAGGACTACCTGTATTACAATATTTACTCTGGAAACAGTTTTTTTTTTTTTTTTAATTTTGATTTATATGCCGCCCTTCTCCGGAGACTCAGGGCGGCTTACAATGCGTTAAGTAATAGCCTTCATCCTTTTGTATATTTATACAAAGTCAGCTTATTGCCCCCACAACTGGGTCCTCAATTTACCTACCTTAGAAAGGATGGAAGGCTGAGTCAACCTTGAGCCTTGGCGAGATTCGAACCTGCAGTAATTGCAGGCAGCTGGTGTTAATAACACGGTGCCTTAGACCACTGTACTACCGAGGTAGTACTACCAAACAGTAAGCAAACAGGCAGGGCTGGAAAAAATTCATTCCTATCTAAACTGTTAAAAACCATACACTTTTTTCCTAAAAATTCTGCTTATCAAATTCTCTGCCAGGTGTACAGATTTTCTTTTTGGCAGCAATTACCTAGAGCTTGTAGATGATTCTTTGTTTGGTAGAAAGTGTTTCACATGGTTATATTTAGCTGTTTTTGAAAAGGATCGTTGGAGCCTTCTTCTGACTCTGGCATCATGGCTGTTAGGTGGTGGAATGCCCAGCTGAGAGGATGTGACATCTTGCTCTGGTTGTGGTCCCCTCATCTCTTTCCTTTCATACATATTTTGAAGTCTGCCACCTCTGATGTGATGCTGATGGACAATCTGTGACTTCCGTCTCAGCTGCTTCCCTTTGCGCCCAGAAGGAATTTCTGCTTCTTCTCTCTGCGTGGAGTTTTGGCAGATAGCTTGCCAGCAGCCCTAAATGCAATGGGCAGAGAGCTTGGGTGGAACAAAGGTTGAAGAGATTTATTTTTATTTATTTATTTTTATTTAATTTGATTTATATGCCGCCCTTCTCCGGAGACTCAGGGCGGCTTACAGTGCGTTAAGCAATAAGCAATAGCCTTCATACTTTTGTATATTTATACAAAGTC